CGGGTGGATCTGTTCCCACTCTGCTTTTAAGATGTTAAAGCGGAAGTTGTACTGAAAGTTGATACTGAAAGATGGAAGGATATTGCCTTTTGGCAGAGAGCTGTTTTTAATTTTTCCAAGGCAGTTTCTTGAAGAATCACGCAGAAACAAGGTATGTTGGCTGAAGGCTCTCTCAGCTGCACGCTGGTATAGACTGGGCTGCCCGCCAGCCCCCTGAGAACCAGTATTCACACCCTCCCCTGACACCACACCTCTGTCAGTTGCTTTGTCCCTTGCGTCTTGTTAAAGTTGCTGGCTGACTTCTCCAGGGAGCTGTGTTTCCATGTCTTTCCTTTCAGAGATGCCGAGTGATACCCCGGCTTTTCCTCCAAGGATTATTTTTGTGTATCCAACTAAATATCAGGACCCCAACTTGGCTCCTGATTTAATCCCAAAGATTCCACATCTACGTTTCCGGAGCCCCTTTCTCTCTTCTTCCAGCATCAGCTTTTCTTTCTCTTTTGACCTCGGAGTATTCCACCTGGCCAGTCTCCTTGGATTTGCTTCCATCCATCAGTGACTCACCCTTATTTCTTCCTGCTTGGAAAGCCCTGAATTATATTTGCTTGTTGCCATCTCATCACTTTCTTTAAAACTATCTGTGGTTCTTGAGGGCCCCACGTCTGCCGTGGAGAAGCTCGAAAGCCCCTGGGCCATGTTTCAAAAGACACATCAGGAAATTCTGAACGTGTTTTGAAACTCCTACTAATTCTACAGGATTACGGAGGTTTATAAGCTGCATTCCACATTTCCCCTTGGTATTCTCACATACTTGCGAAATGTCAAAGGGACTAGATTTCTCTTTATCCAGATATGAAACGTGTAATGAAAACTCCCGGAGCGGGGAATTGAGATGCTCAATCTGGTTTCCCTTTTAAAATCTCCTGTGGTTGTGTGACTATTAATGTAGGTTTCCGTTATTCTTTGGCAATAGGGTACAAATGTAATTGCAGCTTTTTATCTCTTGTTTTTGAAAGTTTTGTGATGAAACAACAGATCACATTTATCAGGCACTCAATTCTTGCCAGGCATAGCATTCAGCATTTTCTGTGGCTTAGCTCATTTGACCTGCATACAACCTAAGAAGCAGGTGTGGTTATTAACCGCATTTTATAGATGAGAGACGCCGGATGAAAGAGCTGTGTCCTCCTTACAGATATGGGATGTTTCTGTTGATGATAAATTCCTCCAAGAGAAATGGAAATCTGGAGGGAGTTTGGTAAAATAATCAGTTAGAACGCCTATAAAAACCACTTGCTCGATCCTGGTCTGACCACAGAGTTCACCAGCACTGTCTTTAAGACAAGCATCCTTTTCCTTGATCTGTGGTCACCACCAGGTAGCAGAGAGGGGCGGTAACTGGAGGAGATTTTTGTCATCTTTTGTAGCTAGGGGTGACAAGAAGACACGCAGTTTAATGTCTTAAGAACTCTTTGAAGAAAGAAACTTCATAAAGATTTTAGAGTTGGTCCTCTGTTCCCATATTACATTTGCCAAACTCCTTCAGTTGGATCCCTGCCCTATTACCATAACACCCCACCTCCTGTAGCATCCTGCATTATTTTAGGCACCCCACCTGTAACAGGATGCTCAGCATCCCTAAAGATAAAGGAAAATAGGAAAGGTAATAGGGCAGCATTCGTCAAACTTGAGTATCATCCACTCTTCTTGTAAAGGAAGAGCATTCTTGGTAACCCCTCATGTTGACTTCTCATTTTTATTTAAATTTTACTTCTTGGGCATAAATGTAAAATTAAACTCCTTTTATTTAGGGTCCTGTACAAATGAAAAACCAAAGCTAATTTACAAGTTAAATCTAACCAAGATGAAAAAGGACCCTCAAATAGTCAAAGTAGCAACATCCATTAAATGTCATGGCTGCTGTCCGCGGGAGCTGAATTGCTGTATGCAGTCTGAGTCCGAGTCTCACGCTGGGCACAGGCTCTTTGAGCAGCTCAGGCCCAGCTCACTCACCACTTTTCACTATCCCAGTGGCTCTCAGCCTTGAGTGTGCTTCCAAAGCACCTGCAGGGAGGCCCCCCCCCGCCCCAGAGCGTCTGATTCAGAAGGTGTGGGGCCCAAGAATTTGCATTTCTAACAAGTCCCTAGATGCTGCTTCTGCTCCTGGTCAAAGGACCACGCTTTGGGAACCACTGCGCTCTTCAGATCATCAGGAGGCTTTCCTTCCCACAGATAGAAATACAGGAACGCCACTGACAAATTAAGTCTGCCCCTGCTCCTTTCTCATTAGCCTGTGAGAATCAAGTTGATATATTTTAGCAAAAAGTGTGTGTTGGTAAGACACAAATGCAAAAAGCAGGTGAAATGAAATGAAATCAAGTGTGCACAGTGGAGGATGTCTGAGGAGTATAGTGGCCGTCTGATGTCCCTTGTTGGGCTTTGTCAAGTGTTTTAGTGTGTCCCCAAGAGAAAATCAAAAGTGGGGCTGCAGAGCGGGAGGGTATAGCTCAGCGGTAGAGTGTGTGCCTAGCATGCAGAAGTCCTGGGTTCAATCCCCAGTACTGCCATTAAAAAAACACACACACACACAAAAACCTGATTACCCCCCCCAAAAAAACCTTACAATTAAAAAAAATTATTAAAAAAAAAGTGGGACTGCTGAGCCCCTGAGGTTGTGTCCAAGGGCCTCAGGGGGAGAATCACTGAGTATCATAAAACACTCACTTGTGGGAAAAACGATATTATTTAAGTGCTTCAGCTTCGGGTGAGCGTGCTGGAGCCAGGATTAAGGCACACAGAGGTGAGCAGGGACCGGCTGACTGGTCGTGTCCACAGCCAGTGGGTGGAAGTTACAGACTTTGGCTTAGTATTCGGAAGCCCCTTTGTGTGCGTCAAGTTGCCCTGAGTGGCAGCCTTAGGGAGCTTGACCCCGAGGCTCTTCAAGGGTCTTCCAGCAACAACCCTGTGGGGTGTCCCACGGGGTTTCCAGCCATAAGAGCCATGTGTCCAAGACCCCTTCGAATGCAAAAGTGATACAGTTCGGAGGCCCTCTTAGCTTGCCCTCTGTCACTCACCAGGGCTGACGGAAGCAGGGATGCTTGGCTCTGCCTCAGACACACCCACAGTGCCGCACTGCACCGTAGGTTCTCAAACATGCCACCTCCCCCGAACCCCCTCCCTCTGCCCCCCAAACTGGCTCCCCTCTCAGCCTCCTCGACTTCGTCACCATCGTCGTCCTGCTTTCTGCCTTTGCATCCTGCCTCGTCCCCTTCAAATGTCTCCATTGCATATTTGCCTTTCTCTTTCCACTGTACACCTCCCCTCCCGCTAGGACTTTATTCTCAACGTGCTAATCTACTGCCACAGTCTCCTGCTCCCTGTCCTGAGCCCCTTTCCTCCCCTTAATGCCATATGACTGCTCCCCACATTATCTGGCTGTAGAACTTTTATCCCCCCCCAGTCTGTTCTTGCCCTAGGGAACGGGTTCCATGAGGCACACACAGGGAAATGCTGCTCTAAGCAGCTCTGCCTGTGTTCCGTCCATTCTTATCTTCTATGCTTGGTCTACACAGTTTATCCTCATATCCAGCCAGCCAAAGACAGATACGCTCACACACATATACTTACCCCCGAGAGGCCACCCATCCTCACGTACTTACTACGGTCCTCTCTCTCCCTTAATTGAACTCCTCTGGGGTCAAGAGCAGCCAGAGCGTTTTCTTACCCTCTCTGCACTCACTGCTTGAAAGGCTTGTGCTTATTTATTTGTTTGCTTGTGACTGTCCCTTCACCCCACTCTAAGTCCAAGATGACGAGTCCTTTTCTGGTCCTCCCTCCGCAAGGCCAACATCTATACCACTGCCTGGGGCCAAGAGCCAGCCCAAAAGCATTTGTGGAATGAATGTGGAGGTGTCTGTCTCTCCAACTCAACTGTGACTTGCAGAGCAGGAACTAGGTCTCAGTGGATGTCTGCAATTTGAGAAGGATTTCTGGCTGGAGCTGGGGGGCTCCGGACCTGTCCTTATCCAGAGCACTGTGGTTCGGAGGCACCTCAGTGCAGTGGGGCCCCAGGGATCTTCATTTCAACCTGTCTTGGGATTTGCTTTGACTGGAGATCCTGTTGCCTGTTTTTAAAACAGATTCCCTTGGGTACTTTGAGCACTTGAGGCCTCTAGGCAGGCAAGGCGTTTCATCCCCATCAGGAAATCGCATCAAAATGATAGTAGGTTTGCACATAGGGAAAATAAAAATACTCCAAGAGATGTTGCTGTTCTCTAGTTTGGCTTTGGACGTAAGCAGTTAAGCCCATTTGGAAGGTCTTTTGACCACATCTGAGATACTGAGCAGGGGCTACGTAGCAGAAACTCACAGTAAACAATGCTATAAAAGCATAAGAGCGAGAAGGAGACCCCTCCCCTCCCCCTTCCCTCCCCCTCCCCGACCCCTCACAAAGGAATTTCTCTAGTTACAGGTCCAAACAGAATTCAACGCAAGAGCCAAACACCGGCTTGGGGTATAAGACTTGTTTCAAAGGGCGGCGTGGAAACCAGGCAGGCTGGCCAGGCTGTGACTTGCCCCTCCGTGCAGGGTCTTGCCCTGAATATTTGGTCTGGCCTCCTCCAGGCTCTGCTTTGTAAACCACACTTGGAAAACCACATCGTGGCAGAACTAATTTTATTCAAGGTTCCTGTCGTCCCCCAGGTATTTTTTCACATCGTTTGGCCTGGACTTCCTTCTGGAAGGGACATAGTTTCCCCTCCTGAAGTGGGTGGGTAGCTCTGGATAAACCCCTCTTACAGCCATCGTCCAGGTCCTCACAGTTCGCCCATGCCTTTCGCATTTGCTGTTTCAAGGCAGAGCTGAGGATTCTAGAAACTGACGGAGAAGGTGTATTGAGGGGGATGCGAAAGCGACAGGGCTGCCGCTGGGCCAGGTCCGTGGCCTCTTTGTCATCCTCTCCCGGGGATTCTGGTCTCACGCTCTGGTGTCTCTCTTTTCAGAGGTGTGAACATGTATGCCATGCTGACGGGGACCCTGCCTTTCACGGTGGAGCCTTTTAGCCTGAGGGCTTTGTACCAGAAGATGGTGGACAAGGAAATGAACCCCCTTCCCACCCAGCTCTCCACAGGTAATGCACCTGCCACTCCGATTCAGGGTCCAGGGTACTCGGTCTCTTCCTGGTACTAAAACGAAGTCTCAAGAAACGATTGGTTTCCTATCTGCAAGGAGCCACTCCCCTCATCTGCCCTCAGTCCTTTCCTTTTCCATCGTAATTCTGAGCCCCTAACTTCCTCCTTCCTCCTCACAAAACACACCTACCAGAAGGACCGTAGTCTCCACTGGAAAAATAATGGAGGCTGAATTGTTTTAAGACTCACCCTTTTATAGTGTTGACTTTGAAAACAGTGTTTGTCATCACATTTCTATTGTGTCTTCCTTCAGCAAGCCACTCTAAAGAGCTATTAGTTTCATTTGAGTTTGGTCTGGGATTTGTTTTGCAATGTGGGTTTTTGAGCCCGTTCAAAAGCTTTTAAATCTACATGGGTTCAGTTTCTCGATTAGACTGAATCATCAGGTGTGTTTGGAAAGTACACTCAAACTTTAGCTGGTTCTCATTTCAGTAAACAGTTCCTATAAGGTTTGGTTTCAGATCCAGCAGATTAGTACAATTTGTTCTTTTGTTTGGTTCACAATTCACTTCAAGTTCCTGGCCTCGGCTTGGCCTTGATGGTCATTTAATTGGCTCCTTAGAATAAACTCAGCTTCACTGAGGTAAGGCATGTGGCCAAAAAAAAAAAGGTGTAATTATTTAATTTCAATTTATGATACATGGTTCAGCTAGAGCACTTTTATTTTACTACTGTTAGGTTTTTTTTTTTCTTGAGTTTACAAAGTGTCTGTGAAGCTGACCCAGAATTTATGGTTGCCAAATGGTGTCCAAGCTGAAATGTGTTCTTGTCCGTAATTATCTAGTTCGGTTCATACTTTCACCTCTGCTGGGGAGGGCAGAATCTCTGCAGGCTGAAAGCAAAGCAGGCACTGTGTTCTTGGGAAGATGAGTTACAGTTCCGTCCATATAAAAGAAATAGTTCTGTGCTGAGAGCCGTGACTCCTGGAGTTAGAAAATGTGCAAAATGTTGACCGAGTTGTTATATTTAAGTTTTAGAGCTTTCAGAAATGTTGGAAGTGCTGCAGTGAAAGCACATTCATGCATTCATTCCACGTTTCATATGCATTCACTTGTTCTGTGACTGTCATTCACTCATTCCATAATTCACGTGCATTCACTTATTCCACGAAAATGTACTGAGCATCAACTATGTGCTAGGAACGCTCTGTCACCAGGAAGAGAAGTAAGACAATCTTTACCCATATACAGCTTACCTATCAGCAGGGGAGGCAAAAAAACAAACAGATAAACACATGTGATGTTTGGTGGTTTAAGTTCTTAAAGAAAATAAGAGAAATCAGGATAAGAGGATAGAGAATAAAGATAGGTTTTTTTTTTAAACCAGTTTAGATTTTTAAATACCTTTTTAGTGTGGTGATTGTAGATTCATACAGAGACCATCTATCCTTCATCCAGTTTTCCCCAGTGGTAGCATCTTAAGTAACTGTAGTTCAATATGACCACCAGGACATTGTTGAAATTCATTGACCTTATTCAGATGTACGTGTCGCTGTGTACGTAGTTCTGTGCGATCTCATCACACGTGTAGGTCCCCGTGACAGTTACCGCAGTCACGATACAGAACAGTACCATGACCAGGATTCCTCATCCTACCCTCTAAAGCCACGGCCACCTCTCTGTTTCCCACCTTCCCTAACTCCTGGCCACCACTCACCTGTTCTCTGACTCTGTAATTTTTGTCCTTTCAAAAATGCTGTATATATATGTGTGTGTGTATATAGATAGATAGATAGCTTTTTCTTTCATTCAGTGTAATTCCATTGAGACCCATCCAAGTTGTTGCATGTATCAATCCTTTGTTCCTTTTTCTTGCTGAGCAGTATTTCATGGTAGAGATATACCATAGTTTAAATATTCGCCCATTGAAGGACACTGGGTTGTTTCCAGTTTTTGGCAATGATAAATAAGGCTGCTATCAACATTCATACATAGGTTTTTGTTGAACATGGTTTTGTTTCTCTGAGATGAATGCCTAATAGTGAAATCACTGGGTTGTATATAGTAAGCACGTATTTAGTTTTGTAAAGAATTTCTTCACTCTTGTTCCTAGGGGCTGTAACACTTTGTGTTCTCTCAAGCGATGCATGAGTGATCCAGTTTCTCTGTATCCTTGCCAGCATTTGATACTCTCACTATTTTTTATTTTAGCCATTCTGATAGGGGTCTAATGATACCTTATTGCGGTAACAAACAAGATTTAATGTTTACAAATAAATGCAATCTTTCAAGGTAGTCTCTTTTAAGAGTTATATAGTCATAAACCCTGCCACCTTTCAGAGTGATTCTGAAGTTCCTCTTATGGTTCAGAGGCTGTTTTGTTCTAAGTGGTCCAATACAAAGAACAGTAGGAGGATGTTGGTACCCTCATGCCTGGAAAAAGCAGACAGTGCTCACTTTGAATCCCAATGAGACACTGAGGAACTGGAACTGCTTCTCACTGTAGTAGTCAGGATAACCCAGGTTATGCTGCAGTAACAAATAGCTCCCAGATCTCAGGTGCATAAGACAACAAAGATTCACTTCTTATTCATGCTACATATTTGTTGAGAGTTGGATCAAGAGTTGGAGGGTTCTGTTCATCCTAGTCAGTCAGGGTACCAGATGGATGGGTTAGCCACCATTTCAAACAAATCTGGTCCCCGCAGAGGGAAAGAGAAGTCTAAAAGTTCTCTTGTCAGTAATGAACTCTCCCACCCTTGTTCCACTCATAACTCCTGAGTTTGTAAAACATGTCACATGGCTTCACCCAGCTAAATGAGCTGGGGAAGTGCAACCCTGCCATGTGTCTGGATGGTGGAAAGCCAGGAATATCTGTTGATCAAACAGCATCAGTGTGAACTGCAGGCTGTAGGAGGAGGAGCAGGTGGGACCTGGCGATCAGCACTGGGGTGAGTCGGGTAGCTGGGCAAGGACAGGTAAATTAACAGCACAAGAAAATCAGTCTCATTGCTTCTGAACCACTAACCTTGTTTTTATCCCAATACTATTATCCAGACTTGACAGGCTGGGCTCTAAGTGTTTTCTGATTGTGACAATTAAATTTACCCTTAAAGAAGTAAAAGTTGCACCCCTGAAAATGTTATTAAAAAAAGTAGTCCAAAGAAGTTCCACAGAAAGAACTAGAAATGCTCCAAGCAATTTTAGCATCACTGGAGTTAGTGTCCAGCCTCACCTAGCTCCTGCCCTGAGCATCAGTTTTGACTTTGGCCTTGAGCTCTGCGTGTGTGCTTGTTCACCTTCACATTCCTGCTGGACTTTGTGGTCTTGACCTGTCAAACATGAACAAGCATGAACTGCATTTCTAGGTCTGATTTTACAATTAGGGAATTTGGACCCGTCCCTGCCCCTTTGATTCTTTTACTATTGGGATTATATAAATGTCCACTCACGTCGGGCTTTAACCCTTTGTGCCAGGTATTAGGCAAACATTTGCACCTGGTAGTTGCTCAGGGAATCGAGGTTGCTGACACTTATGTTAAAGTGTGTGGGCTGGGAAGGCAGCCCATGGATTCACTGGATTACTTGAGGATGGGAACTGGCCCGAGGCTGCAGGACCCAGAGCTGCAGAGGACGCCCAGGTCATCTTATCTTGTTTAGAGAGTGAATGACTTTCGTTTGGGGCATCAGCCACTCCCCTCATGCCAGCCCCCAGCTTCTCCAACCCTTTGTCCTTTGCACCCCAAGTGTACAACACTTCTTTTCACCTTCATTTATGATACCATCTTGTTTACATCCCATAATACTAGCTTACCAGTAACAAGAGTAGCTGCCATTTATTGAATGGCCATGGGTGAGGGCTTTTCATAGTATCTCCTGTTTTCAGGACAGCTCTGCATGGTAAGTTCTATTATCCAAGGGGGAAACTGAGTCTCAGCAAGATGGTATAGCTTCTCTGTTTCTGAATTTACACCTGCTTGACCCCCACACCTGGATTTCCCTACTATCCTGGGCTGCTTCCCTGTCTTTCCTTATTTTATTTAGCGTAAGATGCCCCCAGTCCCCTCCCCACCCCAGATTCAGCGGCATCATCTGTTGTGCCTCTGTTTTGAGTAATATCAAAATTGAAATGTCCAACTGGAGAATGTACCATTTAAGTGTCTCACTAACACATCTTTATTAATTTGATGATTCTGTCACTCATACTTGTAGTGCTCTCGCCACGTCTGTTATAATAGTACTCTTTTTTAGATTAAGTTGGAAGAATTTCTGCCAAATTTGAGCTGAAAAAAAGCACAGCGTTCTTGCCCTTGTGAGCCCATTCTGCGTGCTTTCGAAGAATTGCCCCTCTTTTCTACCATGTGGGTTGAAAGCATAAGCTGTTGGGAGCTTTCCCATTCTGGCTTCTAGACAGTTTCTCTGTCTGCTTGTTGGTGCTTTTACATCACAGAGTCGTGACTGCCTTTCATCGTTTCCACATTTGCTTTTCCATCACGACGCCTCAAGGATGGCTCTTAGAATGCATGCCAAGCACTCACTTTAAATCAAGAGGGTTTTGTACCATGAAGTCACTGAATTGATGCTGAAGGTGGGATGTTAGCATTTGCAAGGGATGAGCCAACACCAATTAAGATTTCCAAGGAGGCTAGACGGTCCAATAATTGTTGATGCTGCTTTCTCCTGGGAGGTGATGAGGGAAGAGCCTCAGGTGGGGATGGGACCCCGCGTGCATCCCATGGGCTGCATGAAAGTCCGATGGCTTCATCTGTTTCCTGTGGCTCTTTCCCTAGACACAGGGTCAGGGTGCTCACACAAGCCAGTCCAGGCTTTGGAAGGCTGATGCTCATGGACGAAAGCAGGTTTTGCACCCAAAGAATGTGCACCTTCTGTGACATGGAGCACAGAGCGGGAGCATGCCCCGTGTGGGCCGTCCCTATGCTTAGGCCTGAATGGAGACCCCCAAGCACTGGATCAGAAGCCATGCCCGCCACCGCTTTCCAGGACAGTGGAGACTACCTCAATCCCTTATGTCCCTGAGTCACAGGGATACTCAAGGCCCTAACACAAACTTCAAAGAGCTCTCAGGATGTCTTCAAAGTCCTTTTCGGGTAGTAATGCAATATTTGTGATGTCCAAAGAAAGAAAACTCACCAGTGGAGATCTGAACTAAAATTACTTGTGCTCATCAGCAATTTGTGAAGATGCAGAGCGCTTGGTTCTGAAAATAGAATGAACACGCACATCCAGTCTGTTCTTAGCTCTTCTGGTTAATCATACTCTGAAAAAGCCTGGGTTGCTGTTCAGGTCCTTTGAGGGTAAGCAACAGAGATGTCTCAGAAACATCGCTAACTGAATAGCCTCCCCGTTTCAATTCATGAAGCCGGTGTCTTTTTTCTTTGACCAATAGATGCCCCTGATTAAGCATCCTAATGACTCTTACAATGAGGGGAGTCGGGAGAAGGGAGAAGCGGGTCCAACAAGAGGAACCCCTCTTCTGGAGCCCCATTTGCTTTTCAGACCATTGAAGAACATTTTAGAAAAGTTTTATTTGAAGACCCAGCTATAAAACTTAGAATATTAAATGTATCACATGACTGCTCTGACGTCTACACATATACTTTTACCCACTACGTTTTCAGAGGGAAATGGCCCTCTGGTGACCTCATCAGCGGTATAGGAACCCACCTGGAGGCATGACCTAGCAAAAGTTACTTCTCTTGGGTTGATCCTGGCACCCCATTAGCCCCTCTTCTGATGGCTTCATTTTTACCCTGCAACAAATGGTTGACAGTCACACCCATCAGTCTGTAAAGGACAGTTTTAAAATGACAACTAAAGCTTGTGAGAAAGTGAGAATTTTTACGACCTTTCCTCGAAAGGTTAGATTATCTTAGAAAACTGAAAAACGGCTTTGGAGAGAAGGACAGAAAAGTTTGGGGACCAAGCAAATGAAGATCGTTTTCCAGAACCTATCATTTGGTATATTGGAAATTGGAGTTCATGTATTTTTTCTCTTGCAAAGACGTGATCATAATGCTCCATACAATGAGTATAAATAAGAAACTATCGTGACCCCACAGCTCAAGCAAAACAGACCATCTTCATTTTGAAATAATCCCTGGGATTCTTTTTCCGTATGTGAACCTGCATATTCTTGTGCTGAACAATTTTGGTGGCTGTGACCTTCATGTGCATTATAAACATATTTTTCCATGTTGTGTAGTTGTCTCCGTTGTTCTAAATCTTTTTTTTTTTAATGGTGGTACTGGAGATTGAACCCAGGACCTCCTGCATGCTAAGCATGGGCTCTACCACTGACCCATACCCTCCTCACTATTCTTATAATCTTAAAGGATACAAATGTTCCATTTATGGACAGACCAGCTTCCTAACACTAATGCCTGGGTGGACAACAGATGCTCTGTACATGTTTATTTAATGAAAGGAAAACAGGGCATCTGAAAAAACCATTTTTGCCTGGGATGAAAGGGGAAGGGGAGGTGAGGATTTCACGATTTGTCAATCATGTCACACATTGTTTGCTTACACCCCACGGTCCACATGACTGATGTGCTGCAGCGAGCTTCAGTGGGCTAGAGAGTCAGGACAAACTTTATTGGCATATATTGTGCCCAAGACAGTTCAAAAGGAGCGGGCCCAGCAGGCCAACGTGGGTTTAGAGTACATGAATTTTGTCCACGAACTAAAATTTAAAAACTGGAGTCCTTGTTACAGAGTTTACTTAACACTTTAACCAAGTCTGTCTCTCTGGATTTGTTTCGCCCTGACTGGCTCAGCTAAGTGCACCGTCAGTTCACAGAGTCTGGGGAGTAAATGGTGACCCCAGAGAATGGCTGTAAAAGAAAGGCCCAGAAGGAAAGCAGGACGTCCCTGTCCTCTTGAGACTTTGGGCGTCAGTGGTGAAGGCCAAAGTGGAGGGTCTAAGTGAGAATGTCTTTACCCTCTGTTTACTTTCTGAGTCCTCAAAAACCTACCTTGCGATCAAGCATTGTCTTTTCACTTCCTTTCATCCCTCTTTGGCTCACCTTTAGAGGTGAGCCTCCAGAAAAGACCACCGGTGGTTCTGGGAAGTGCAGGGCGTGGGAAGACCCACGCTGGTTCTTGCTTTACCACGTCCCAGGTGCATCCCTTGGATAGATATCTTAAACTCAGGACTTGTGGTACCCAGAGTGCCAGAAAATAGATCAGCCATGGCTTGGAGGCGTGGCGGGCCGCCTGCCTTGAGTCTTCGTTCAGCTTGTGACATGTGCCTGTTCTTTGCCGAATGTCTTCCCAGGAGCTGTGAACTTCCTGCGTTCTCTCCTGGAACCAGATCCCGTGAAGAGGCCCAACATCCAGCAAGCACTGGCCAACCGCTGGCTCAATGAGAATTACGTGGGCAAAGTGCCATGTAATGTCACCTATCCCAACAGGTAATCCAGTGCACCCAGAGGGACCCCTTCCCGGGCAAGACGGGCCCTGTCTTACGAGCCCTGAATACTTCTGGACAGGAAGCTGTATGTGATTCAGGGAATAGCTGCATCTTCTCTTGGCTGCCCTTTCCCCCTCCGCACCCCCAGGCCCGCAGACGAGCCCACCTCAGTGCATAGGAGGAGGTGTGGACAGGGCCACCCCAGGCGGCTGTGCAGAGCTCACCCTGCAGGGGGTGCCCGGAGGTGGGTGGGTGGAGGCTGAAATCCAGGCCACACTCCCATGGTCAACCCTGTCCCTGAGGATGTAAGGACTTACATCTCTCCAGAGTGGTGCCTCTTTCTAATTCACACAAAGGGACAGTCTAGACTAGCCATGGCTTGAGAGAGTGTGTGTGTGTGTGTGTGTGTGTGTGTGTGTATATGAGAGTGTGTGAGTGTGTGGTCCACTCAAGAGCTCTCCTGCCAGCATCAGGCAGAATCCTGTGGAATTGCCCCTTCCCCTTTCAGATCACCCCTGGGCTCCTGTTCTGCCACCTCTTTGCTCTGATGTGTGTTTCAGTCCTGAGCCCCCCGCCTTACAATGCTGGGGGCGGGAAGAAAGGCAGGAGCAGGAGCCCTCCAGGCCGTGCTTCCCTGTGGACTTCCCAGGAAGGCTGCGCCTTGGCCGTTTTCACGGGGAGGGCTCTTTCAGGAAGGCTTACAGGCCGGAATGCACAGCGTGGAAACCCTGAGGACACCTGATGGCCCACGCGTCCCCATGCAGGGGTGTCGACTCCAGATTTGAGAACAAATTTCCTTGTACTTTTTTCCTTCTCATTTGACCTACTGTTAACTCACCGGAGGGAGGGTATGAGGACCCCTAACCCTAACCCTAACCCTTCACCTTGGTGACTTTAGAGCAAACATGAAGACCACGTGGGTCAGATACCCTCCAGGACTGGGAGCTACCTTGGCCTGCACATTCTAGATCTGAAGCTCAGATGAAGACAGAAGAACCACTGATGGGGGGGGGGGGGCAGATGGGGACTGACAGGCTAGGGAAAGAGGTGTCCTCTGTGATCACACGTTCAAAAGGCCCAGGAAGGTCTGGAAGCATCCACAAGCCTTATGAAGGAGGCAGCACTGAGGTCTCCAGCTGAGACGGGCAGGCTGGGCTCTGCCTCGGGGAGGACCTTCTAGGAGAACTTCAGGGGGTCTGGGGGTGGGGTGTGGGATGTGCATCTAGGCTACTGGGCCACACTGATGCTCGCCTGGCCGTAGGTGGGGTGCTTTCACTCAGCTGCCTTATAGAATTCTAGCATTTCACCCATGGGAGGTAATTTAAACAAAGTCTAGGCTACTCAGGTTACCAAGGGAACCTGGAAATAGACTGCTGGTTTCCAGTGCTGGCTCGGTCTGGTCTAGTATCTGAAATAGATACCAGGAATATTACCCCAACAGAAAGCAGAGCCGAGGACCTACGCCTCGTTCCCAGGGCTCACACCGCACTGAAGCACACAGGTATGCTCTCCGTTAAAAGAGGAGGCATTAGTAGCTGCCAGATGAGTCATTAACCTAATGTAATCACTGTCAAAATGAGCATAATCAATCCACTCAATGGGGCAGCTGTTGAAGGAAGGGAACCCGGTATTAAATACAGCCTCCTCCCTCCCTGCTGGCCGCGTCTTCATCCACGAAGGCTCATGCCCTGGCATCTCATTTTGTACCTTCTCCCTGGGTTATAGGCAGGCGTTTGTAGATTAAAACTTAAATTCTAGTAATCTATATTGGCTTTGCCAGATTGATAATTTTTGCATTTGGACTTGGTCAAAAGCATAAAGGCTACACATGATCAATTAGGTAGATCGTAAAAATGGTTAAAATCTTGTATATTAACGAAAACAGCAGCTCAGTCCCTACTGTTTGTTTGAAGCCCATTATTCATTTTATACTAGAGCCAAATCCATGTGTGGTTTTTGAATAATGAAACCAGAACTCTAAACCATTGGGGAAGACAGATGTTATGTACAGTCTTCTTATTTTAACTGAAATATAGTTGGTTTACAATGTTGTGTTAATTTCTACAGTCTTTATTTTGAAAAAAATATATAAGGCCAAAAAGTGCTTTTGATAATTATCTTTCTGGTTTTACCATTTACACAGATAAATGGAGTGATATGTGACCAGGAAAGGAATATTTTCTTTATAAAGTCTATTTTATAGCTTCCCAACATGTGTAGCCCCAGATTTAATTATTTTAGATGTTGTCCATGTTTTACTTCTGGGAAAGAAAGAAAATAAAGGTCCCATGCTTTACATCACTTTTCTGTAAAGCCTTCTGTTCATTCATTTGGGCCTCCAGGTTGATTTCCAAGAGGCAAGAGGAAAATATCTTTAAAAGTAAATTTTTTGTAATAAATGTTCATGCCAGCCAGTCACAGATGTTGCGGTGTGCCGGGCTGGCCTCCCTGTTCTGGGAGCTGACATTTTTTTCAGAGCAGACCCTAAGCCACCCCCTCCCATTGCCCTGCCTGGGCCTGGACAGGCTCCCACACCTGTAGTTAGCGCTGGTGATGGGTGGGAGGGGAAGGAGGCCATTGGTAGCGCAGGACAGAATTAGACCACAGTGGAATAAAATTGGATTCATGTTACTCAGAGTTATACCTAGTGTTCCGGAACATTTTATTACCATCGTCTCTGTAATCCAAACATGGAGTGATGATACAAATTCAGTAACTGACACAGGAAAGCACCAAATATACACATTGCTTATTGAAAATATTTAAAATATTCCTCTCAGTCAGGAGTCAGCCCACAGCCTATATGCTGGCAGAGCTCATGTGTTTTTGAAGACAAAGGATATGAAGGGCAGAGATGGGGTGTCTGCCCTTGCTCACTTCCTCCTCTCTCCTCCACTTCCCAGCCCCACCCCGGTGGCACCCCTTCCAGGGCCTGCTCCCCAGGGAACCATGGTTGATGTCAGATAGCCAGGGCCTTCTAGGGGTGGGGTCATCCAATGTAGCTGTGGGTTGATTGGTCGGGGTGGGGGGAGGGTCACAGAAATCATGATCTGATTGGCTAGGGGTGAGGCCACGAAGCCATGGTCTGATTGGCCAATGTCAGGGGCACAGCAGGGATCTCACTGGCCAGGAGTGGGGTCAAGTGGGGGTAGTGATCTCCTTGGCCAAAGGCAGGCCTGCCCACACTTGGATGTTACCAGCTAGTTTCAAACAATTGTGCTTTCTGTGTTAAGTGCTTTGGCAGTCTTCAAGTAAGTGTATCCTTTTTAAACAAATGTTATTATTTTTAACCATTAATCATGCCAACCCTACTCAACCTTTTTTCTAGAATTTGTCATTTTGTGGCCATCAGGAGTGAAGAAGGCAGATCTGCTTTCTTGGGTGTGCTTTCTTTGGCCTGCACTTAGCCAAACGTAGCAGAGGGAGGGCTGACATAGGTTACACTGAGGGTGGTGGAAGGTGGTCAGCAGACCTGGGTCTGCCCTTCCTGCCCCTACTAACTGGCCTGTGGACTTGGCAAGTCGGCTTCCTCTTCTGCACCATTATGGGGGTGTACTGCGTGGTTTCTCCGGGTGTTATGGTTCTGAGGTTCTGTCAAAAGTTGCAGCCCCAGAATTCAAACCCGAGCAACCTAGTTCAGTGTCTAGACGAACCTCTACACTCGCTGCCTCTCAAATAGCATTTTACTTTATGGCTGAGCCCCAGATCCCCTATCTGTGAGCTTGTAAGCTCGCATTGTTCCTTTAAACACGGGCTGGACTGGCTCCTGAGCACTCTCCTTCCCCACGCCAGCTTCCACCCAACTTAAGTGTGGGCTCCACCCATGTCCAGTAAATACATTTTAAGGGAAAAAAATGTCAAATTGCAAAGACGTTTGGGACAATTGAGGACATCTGAATATACTCTAGATATCAGAGAAGATTAACACATTACTAAAATTTTGCTGAGTATTTTGATGGTATTGTGATTCTGCAGGAGATGCCCTTGGTTTTTAAAGATGCACACTGAGGTGTTTAGGAATGAAATGTCACGATGTCTGGGATATAAAATACTATAGAAAATAAATAAATAAAGCAAGCAAGCATGTATGGTGACGCATTAACAATGGGTAGAGCCATGTATGGGTGCACATGTAGGGTAATTGTACTATTCCTTCTACTTTTCTGTACATGGATTTTTCATAATAAAAAGTCAAGTGAATGAAAGAGTGAATGATGGATGTGGTTGTCCATGGGGGGGCGTGTGTGTGTGTGTGTGTGTCTGTGTGTGTGTGTGTGTTGAGGGTGGGGGTCTCTGTGCTGCCATGTTTGTGAGCATCACTAAGCAGGCCCCAGGGCCTCTCAGGGAGGATGGAGATGTGACTGGTCTTCTGTCCCTCTGCCGAGCAGGATTTCCCTGGAAGACCTGAGCCCCAGCGTGGTGCTGCACATGACCGAGAAGCTGGGCTACAAGAACAGTGACGTAATCAACACAGTGCTGTCCAACCGCGCCTGTCACATCCTCGCCATCTACTTCCTCCTAAACAAGAAACTCGAGCGCTATTTGTCAGGGGTGAGTGGGGCCCCGCGGCGGCTCTCTTTACCCTCTGGGGAAAGAGGAGCTCTGACACCCAAAGTGTTTCCTTCCCAGTTGCTGACACTTGATCTGAGCTGTTAATTGAAGTGAATGTAAGGCTGGGTTTCCTGAACGTGGGAGAAAATAGTACCCAAACCTGCTTCTCAGAGAGCGCTTTTCGATCTGAGGTGTTTTTCAAATGTTTGCCCACAGAGTGAAGGTCTGGGCAGACTCGGGAGAGGTTCGAGCTTCTTTTTCCTTCAGTTTCTGGTGGCTCCTTGGATTCGCCACTTAAAAGGCACCAGGGACGTGTGTGGCTTTAAAGGTTGGGGAGCAGAGGCTCTCAGGCATTCACCTCTAAAGCTCGGGGTATGAGAAAGCCACTGTTTACATTTACTTTGCTAGAAAACAGGAATGAAATGGAACTTCACCAGCTTGACTTTGGCCCCTTCACTCCGTCTGGGCATCAGAAAGCCCAGGTGTCACGTGTCGCAGATGAGGGAGGTAGAGCTGGGAGTCTGGGGTGGATGGTGGTACCCGCTTGCTTTGGCCACCTTCATCCTTCTGCCACCTGCAGTGCATACATGCCTGGGTAAGGGAACTTACATGCTTCCGTATCCAATCAACTCTTTCTAAATGGACAATGGCTAAAAAAGAATTCTGCAAAGAAAACTGGATCAAAGGCAGTGATAGATCCTGTGTATCACTCCTTCTGTTTCTCTGACTCGGAGTGACAGGGGCTGACCAGATCTAACAGGACGCCGGCCTGAGAAATTTGGAATTGTCAGGGAGCCCATCTGAAAGCTGATTTCATACCCACTGTCTTGAAGGATGATCTTCACCCCATGTCTGTGGCGCCTTGAGATCTGATTGTGGGGGTTTGTCCCTGTTGACATTTACAATCCAGAACATGAAGACGAATTTCTGAAGTTTTCCAGTGCAATTTAAAGTCACGTGATAGCCCCAGATATCACAAAACTCCACTAAACAATAGTCTTAGAACCTTTTGTGAGGCTTTTATATTAGAGCGAAGGACAAAAATCCACTGACAGTTGGGGAAATGATATTCTCCCTGATGAGGCAGAAATGACCAAAATGACCAAAATGATGCCCGGAAGACAAGATGGTGAGAATGGGTCTCTTGTTATCAAATAGATTTGGGAGGCATTTCAAAAACATTGCCGAGCAGATGAAGGAGCTTTATGGGCGTTTTGTGAAACAACTGAACAGCAGTTTTGATGTTTCTAAGTGGATTCAGCTTAGGGTCCATCACAGATTTGACTTCAACAGGAAATTACCCACAGAACAACTTTTATTTGGTGAAACACCAAAGGAAAGATGTAGACAAGAAGAGACATTCTCTATAGTAAAAGGCTTTTTAAGAAAGAGTAATGTTTTATGGGGGTGGGAAATAAAACACTCTGTAAGCAGTGATGGGACGACACTTTGGATGGAAACAGGTATGCAGCTTTGAGGCTAGGTTTCAGAGACAGTGCCACGGTCACAGGAAAGCTACTGCCGGAGAGACTTGAAGGCCAGGACCTTTGACACGTAGTGTGTTAATTATATCATTTTATTGTGCAGTAGGAGTGATTAAGAGATTCTCCTGTACTGTGCAGAGGCTCTGTTCACCTTGCTGATGAGCATAAAAGACTTGTTAGCCTTGAAGCTGTTTCTCATTTCTCTTCTGTAAGGAGACCATATGCCCTATATTTCTTCCTTATCTTATCCTTTTAAATTCCTATTTTATTGCAAATTTTATAGTGTACGTGATATATTAGTACAGTACATGCTTATAATTTTTAAATAAATATGCACATATTATTGATGCCTGCTGACAACTTTTTCACATGCTATGAGCTCAAGGTCACACACCATTTGGGGACCACCATGCCAGGAGACTAGTAGTTCTCAAGTAAAAAGACCAGAGGAGGGTCAACACACTGATTTTCTGTTTGAAATGATGAATTTGTTCAAAAAGTAGTTTTTAAAAAGTGTTTCCACGAAACTGGCTGTAAAGTTCACGATTTCACATATTTAAAGGATGACACTGCTCTTTTCCCAAGTAAGCTGGCAGATTCAGACATTCTTCTTTTGGCAGAACTGGTTCTCTGGCTACTGATCAGTAAGATAGAGGGGCTTTCGCTTTAAAAATAGTTTCTTTCTATGTCAGCCTCCACATCTACAGATGCAAACTTTGGCTGCTCGTGCCCTTAAGCAATCACGCGGCTCCTCCCATGTAAGAGACGTTTGCCTGAAGCTGTTGGGCTGAGTCTTGGTTTCTCCCGGTGTCTTGCCATCTGCTTTGTTTGCCCAGCAGCAGGGCTGCGAATGTTGCAGGGCTGCAGAGCTCTGTGGTTTTATCTGCTGAGAAGTTCCCGGAAACTCAACTAATGTAGTTCTAACTGGAGAAGGTTCTTATTTGATTGTGTCTGTTTCAAAATTTACCCTTAAATCATAGGACGTAGCTGGTCTGAGAACCACTGTCGAGGTGGGTGGCTGCTTTTAAGAGTGAATTATTCCCCACAGACAGTCATATCTGGTCCGATCAGTAATTTCCACACAAGGCTACTGTCATCGCACTGTCCCAGCTAATAATATCATTCGCTAATTACTGACAAACATGTAATTTTGAAAGTGAAACTAGTGAACTATAAAAAGTAAATATTATACCTTAATTATTCGTCATTTCTCCCCTTCTCCCTTGATTCTTGTTTCCTCTTTCTAAGACCTAGAGGCCTGGACTTTAATTTGGAGAGCCTGTAAAAGCATCCCATGAATATTTGTTGGTTGATCAATTAATCAGTCATTTAATTACACCTGCCACCAAAGAGCGTTACACCTAAGTCATGCTCCTGGGTCATCTTAGGGGTGGTTATCTGTCTTTCTGAAACGCTATTATGAATGGATGTGACTTTTATTGGGCGGGGAACTAGGGCTGTTTTTAAACAAGCAAGATCTGTGTCCTAGTCAGTAGTTCGATAAAATAAGCTGTTCCTCCCTGCTCACATATTCGGTCTCCACTTGCACGTCTTGGAGTGGTCTTCATCGCACAGGTGAGAGCACTGAGGCCCAGCGAGGAGCACTGATGAGCCCAGGGCCGCCTGGCCCTTTCCTGGCAGAGCCAGTAACAGAGACAGGTCACCTGACTCTGGGCCCGGCGCTCTCCCCGGGCTCCTGCGGGCTGACCTCCGATGAGGCTTTGCACTGCAATTAAGGGCCTTGCCAACCACATTCTGCCCTTTCTCAGCCGAGTGCTGGTTTAAAAATTAATGACTGCTTAATGGACATTTCTGCTTCCCATGAGTTAAGCCAGGCTTTTTCTCCCCTCTTCTCTGGTAGAAATCCGACATCCAGGACAGTGTCTGCTACAAGACCCAGCTCTATCAGATAGAAAAGTGCAGGCCCACCAAGGAGCCCTATGAGGTGAGTGACCCCCAAACACAGCCCAGGAGCTCTCTGGAAGAGTGGATTTCCATTTTTGTGGGGGTGGAGTGGAAAGGAAACCAATCATTATGGGACACAAAAGTAGCCAAAGACAAATACTCGCTTAATTAACTGAGCCTTTGAGACATGGTTTACAGCCAGGCCACCATCGCTCAGTCTCCAGACTGTGGTTCTTAGCTGGACCATACATTCGAATCCCCAGGGAGCGTTTGAACATCCGGATGCCCAGGCCGCACTTTGAACTGATTCTGTGGAATCTCAAGGGGTGGGAGCGGGGGGCAGTATTTTTTAAAGCTCCCTGGACGATTCCCTTGAACAGTCAAGGTTGGAAACCACTGGCAGAGCTCCAAAAGGCGAAAACGAGATGCTGAAAAATAGAAGTGAAGGTAACGCTGGGCATCAGAAGAAGAAAGTAAGATGAGGAACTGCAAAAAGTGTCAGAAAAGCCTTTCCAGGCAGTTGTCCTTGGTGGCCGGATGCTACCTAGAACATACCTGAGAGAAAATACCGAGGGTCTTTGATTTCAGGGTAAAGACTAGTATCATATTATCCCAAATTTGGACCCCAGATACACGCTTGTTAAGAGAATATGCCTGGGAAATTCAGATCCGGGGTCTGGAGCCCGGTGCCCCCAGGGCCCCTCATTTGCTGTTTTGTCGAGTGCGGCTCCTCTGCCTTCTCAGTGATTTTCCATGGAAAACGGAACCCACTTCCATTTCCCCTCCAGAGCCTCTTCCATGTGCCTGAGTCCCTCTGCCACCAGAGCGTCTCCTGGGACACCCAGGAATTCCTTCATTTGAGGAGAAATCAGAAAAGGACCCGCCCTCCATGCTCTGTGGGAGGCAGGTGGCCTGTCCACTGCCTCTTCCCTCTTCTGACCCATAAGTTTTCACCCTGATTCCACAAGCCTCACATGTCACTGGAGAAGGAAGGTCTCCTGGGTCTTTGAGAGGCATTGAGGGGCTGGGGGGTGGTGACTGAACACTGCTCTGGGCTCCTTGGTGACAGCAGGAAGCAAATGGGACACGACCCAGGCCAACCTGGTGATGCAGGTGATGGGGTACGGAGCTGCCAGATGCCACGTGTAAAAGTGGCTGCCCCAAGTGTGGAGGTGGGCAAGGTGTGGAGCTAGGGAGTGGTGAGTCTGACCGATCTAGACAGAGTCTGGGGGATGGCATGGTTCAGGGAGGCAGAGGAGACACTTTGATGACACAGAAACTGTCAAAGATGACGGAGCAGCCGGAGACCCACGAGGGAAGGGTGTCCAGGAGGACACAGTTAAGGTCAAGTATAAAACGGTCCGTGGTGACAACTGAGCAGTTAGATGTCCTGGAGGAAGTGGCAAAGGCAGAAAAGAGATCACGTGGATTTGGGGGAGTGACGACAGGGAGCATAGGTCTCTGGCAATGATGAGGAGAGGATGTGGCTTCTGCTTGGAGATGTGGCGTTGGGGAGGAGCCACGGTGGGGGAGGAGGAAGGAACGCCAGGGGTGAGTGGGGAGGGGTGTGCATTCAGAGCGGCCTGGGTGGGCCTCGCCTTGACCCCAGGCTGGAGGTGAGCCTTTGGAGGGGGATGTGCAGCCTGGGGCTGAGCCGCAAGCACACGCATGGCTTTTAGGTGGAGGTGGTGTAGGGGCCAGGCTCCCCTGAGCCCCAGACGCCTCTGGCCAATTGCTAACTAAGCCTCCTCTTGCATAAGCAAGATGTCTCAAATCTAGCACGCCTGGAACCACCTCTCTCCTGACCCCTAGTCTCTGTCTCCAAATGGCAGCCCCGCCCTCAGTACAGGGCAGAAACCCGGGAGTCCTTTTGATTCCTTGCCCTCACCCTGAGAAGCAGCACCGCCCCCACTCTCTCCATCCCCATTCTCCCCTCTTGCCTGGACCGCTGCCACAGCCTAACTGGTCTCCCTCCTTCCCCACGACTTCCTGGCACTCTGTCCTCCACACACTAGCCAGAGCAAGCTATTCACACTCAAGTCAGACCATGTCACTTCCCTGCTCGAAACTTTCAAAGGCTTCTTTCCATATCCTGGAAGGCAAACTCTATGACGTGGCCACCATGTCCTGGATTGGACCGGCTTCTGTCAGCTCCTCCAGTCTCCTCTCCCAGCCCCATCTGCCCCTCACATCCCCAGCCCCAGCCCTGCTTCTTGCTTTGTGCTCTGTCCCATGGGTCTTCCAACTTCTGTGCTCTCTTGGTTGCCAGGACTGTGCACACCCTGTTCCCTCTTCCAGAATGTTCTCCCCACCCCTTTCTGCTGAGTTGATGTCTATATATCTTCAGATCCCAAGGCAGGATCCTGTTCTCCTGGACCTCTGCCGTTGTCTGACCTCTGCCATTAGATCGCACCCCTCCAGTGAGGGCTGTCACACCACGTTCTGCATCCTGGGGCTTGTCCCATTGGCAGGGTTTCATTTGTTTAGGGACTATTTGAATGTCTCTCTCCCACTCTGGACTGTGAGTTCTTAAGAGCAGGGAAAGTCCCTAGAGCCCCCACAAAGCCTGGCATGCAGCAGGGGCTCAAGAAAAAATTTGCTAAATCAACAAATGAAATAATCGAGTTGACTTTGACCCAAGTCTCAGAAAAATAGAATTGAGCCAGCACCTGGAGAAGCTTGAACATTCCAGGTGGGACATCTAACTTGATCAAGGTGGAGGCACTGCTTGCACTATAGCACACAAATTGAACCCTCATCCCCTGAAGGCCACGCCCTACGGCAGGGAGGGACTTCTTATAGTCATTTGCACTGTGGGCAGTCACCTTGGCTGGGGTCCGGGCTTTGCAGAATTCACTCTTAGGCTCCCCAGCCTCTTGCTTTGCCTTTGACCTTTTAGGGCCTCAGGTAATAAAGCAAACTGAGATATACCACGTGCCCCCACGTGTGTGCCCCAGGTGGCCTCTAAGCCACTTGGCTGATACCCATGTCCTTGGTCGCTCTGGTACCTGACCCGGCTCATGTGTTCAAAAGTGTCAGAGCCACGATGGAAAAGGGGCCCCCTTTTTTTCCATCCAGCTTATTTTTCTCAGCTGATTATTTCTTTTGGCCCCAAAACACATGGTAAGCATTTTCAAGCATTTGTTGAAATATTTAATGGTTAGGGTTTGAATAGGAACGCTAGTGGGAAAACAGCATTTCAGTTTTCTATGATCCATTTGTTTTCTCCAAACTGCAGCGATCCTTGTGCTAAATAAATTACAGGCTATGACTAGATTATCCAACTCGGCTCTGTTGGAACCTAGAAAGTGGAATGGGGCCAGTTAGAAAAGGTGGTAAGAAAGTCTGAAGGAGGCCAGGTTTCCCAGGTGAAGCCCACTTAGAGCCTCTGTGGGTTTCCTTCCAGTTCCCATCAGTGGTCCTGGAGGAGAAGCCACCAGGCGGCAGGGGAGCTGGGGTGGGGAGCAGGAGCAGTGGACAGAAGTTCAAGGTTGCACACAGACGGGCTCTGGGGCTGTGTCCAGGCATTGAGGGCATGTGGTGGCCTCTTTCTTCTTCTCAATTCCAGTTCTTTTTCTCCTAGGAGACACAGGATCCAAATTAAGTTGAATTAAAAAACTTCCCTTGGGATTACAGTGCTGTCATTTTACGACTTTAACACTTTCTCCACCTCTTCTTCCTGTAACGGGCAGAGTGTGTCTGGAAATATGACACACTTGTCTCATCGAAGAACACCGTGGGCATGTGACGCCTCAGAGACTCCTTTCCCTAAAACAGGCCCTTGAGGACTGTAGGGGTCATGGAAGGGTGGTCATCACTTTTAAACTGGCTTATTAAAGCCACAGAGAGCCATTTTTGTTCAAGTCTTTAAAAATAATGCTGATTTGTAGGAAACTGTACAATAGCACGAGGAGGGCTTCTCTGTAGTGTCAAAGTGCCTCAAACAAAGGAATGTGGCATCTCACAGGTCTACAGGCAAGAAGTCCAAGGTTGAGATGTCGGCAGAGTTGGTTCCCCTGAAGGCTCTGGGAGGGATCTCTTTCATGCCTCCTAGCTTCTGGTGGTTTTCTGGCCACCTTTGGTTCCTCGACTTGCAGAAGCATCACCCCGATCTCTGCCTGCATCTTCACATCGTGTTCTCTCTGTGCGTGTGTGCGTGTGTGTGTGTGTGTGTGTGTGTGTGTCTGCGATCAGTTTCCTCTTTCTATAAGGGTACCAGTCACACTGCATTAAAACACACCCAGATGACTTCATCTTAACTTGACTACCTCTGTAAAGGTAACATGAACAATTACTCTTCTCAAAGGCAAAGGAGAGTGAGCGTTCACACCCCTCCAACTCCCCTCCACCCCCACTCCCGTCCCCAGGCTTCAAAGGGGATGTGACAGACCTGTCTTGACCCTGTCTTCAAGCAAGGTCACATCCTGAGGTCTAGGGGTTAGGATTCCAACATATGCATTTTGGGGGACTATAAATACTTAAAGGGGACTATAAGTTTAAAGGTAAAATATTACAGTGTTGGCTTTGTATCTTATTGCAGAATTTGTGCAAATTTTAAAAATAAATTTTGGAATCAGGTCAAGCTGTGCTGTTAGAAATCAGAATGGTAGTTACCTTTGGGGACGGGGTGAGGACATGGGGCACAAGGGACTTCCAGGTGCCCGCTGGGTTCTGTTTCTTCATCAGGGTGCTGTTTCCATACATGCTTCTGCTGTTTGAGGAAACATTGAACTACTTACTGGTCATCAAAGCACCCCTCTATTACGTGTCCTAGACTTTAATAAAAACCTTACCTGGAAAATCTATTCAGGGCAGGAATTAGGACATCTGATGCCTGCTTCCACCACTATTTGATTTCTTGTCTATAGATATTGAAATGAATAATCTTTCATCAGAGCTGTCAGTGGTAGAGGGTAGAGTTTAGGGAATAAACAACAGGTGCAGCTTCTTGAATTGTTGAAAAATGCTGCTTTTTACAGGCCTCCCTGGACACCTGGACAAGAGACCTTGAATTTCATGCTGTACAGGTAAGAACTAGGGGGTTGTGATGGACAGTCAGAGTTCTCCAGAGAAACAGATCCAAAAGCGTGTGTGTGTGTGTGTGTGTGTGTGTGTGTGTGATGCCTGGACACCCAGGGAAGAGCTGATGTTTCAGCTCGAGTCCCAGAGCCTTCTGGAAGCAGAATTTCTTCTTCCTCAGGACACCTCAGTCTTTTTCTCTTAAGGCTTTCAACTGATTCCATGAAGCCCACCCAGATTGTGGAGGGTAGTCTGCTTAACTCAAAAAGCCTGCTGATTTAAATGTCAATCACATCTAAAACATACCTGCAATGCAGCATGTAGACTGGGGTTTGACCAGACACGGGGTACCCTGGCCTAGCCAACTTGGCACATGAACGCAGCCATCACTATGACCCTGAAGGCTGGCGGATCTCTGCCCGGGGCTCTGGACTCTACACACCCCCATCTTGTCCAGTCCCGCTGTAAGTGGATTTATCAGAATCTCCTCAGATCAGACCAGTTCTTTCTATGTTTAGTTGACTTCTTTTTTTTCTTTAAACTGTCTTGCTATAACTACACGCTTGGCTATGCGTTCATGTTTCTGTCTGCATAGAAGTGGGGTTTGCAGCAGTCCAGGGCTTCCCGGCTCAGTGGCCTAACTTAAGAACCAAGCCCTCTTTTTCTCAACTCATTCGTGTGTTTCCTAAGGCAAAATCAGGCCTCTGTGGCTTTCCCTTATGTGATGGGCAGCAAGGAACCAAAATCAACGAACAAATGACAGCTGGGTCCCTGCACCATCCCGGGTGTCCACAGTCCACATCTAGTTCTGATGCTCCAAATCGCCACGTGAGGTTGCCTCATCGGCACGGGGACCCCAGGCTCCAGAAAGCCCACACTGAGCCCGACCTGATGGTTCCTCAAAGGGGACACTTCCGCTCGCCACCAGTCCCCAGGCCCTCTGCCGCGTCTTCACGCTCTGGGGTCAGCTCTTCACTGCGTGAGGGGTGAGGGGGTCCCTGCCCCCGCCCCCAGGCAGCACTTCTTCCTACAGCCGGGGTTGGGGGGGAGCTCAGGAGACATTGCCACATCTGTCCTTGTTAGATGGATGCCTTTGCCTTGCAGGCAATGAAGCAGGTGAGATGTGAGGTTCATTTGTATCCCCAAAGAGCTGGGAGGGACCCATCCTTTTGGTTACAGATGGGGAGGTGCAGCCCTCAAGGGGAAGTGACTTGCCGAAGGTCACCTGGCGATGCCTTCAGGAGCGAGACTGGGAAGGCAAGAGGAGGGGTCTCTCTGGAACCTGGAGTCGCAGGGAACAGTCTAGAGGCACCAGCCTCCGGGAGCTCACGTCTCAGAGGCTGAGGACCAGCTTCCTCCTCGTTCGGGCTGCGGAACCTGCAGACCTCCCCCTCCAGGAGCCCAGTGGGTCATCCCTCACTGGCTTCTTCCTCTCCTCCCTCAAACAGTCCGTGACATCCAACACGTCTTGGGTAGATAATCCTTCATGGGGCCACACTTCCGAAGTGTCCAGTTTTGTAAATGTCCTTGCACATGTGTGGTGGGTGGGAAATGGTTTAAAGGAAACAAAGAGCTGTTTTGTGTGGGGCTTGCTTGCACCCGGTGTGTCACGTGGCCTCCTCTTGGCTCTGCCTTGAGGGTGCGGGATGAGCGCTGGCGGGGGCAAAGAAGACCCCCCCCGAACTGGCAGCTTCAGCTCCATTGCCCACCGGCAGGTGCAGTGGGTGAGGGGCGCACTGCCCACCCGTGAGAATCAGCAGGAAACCAAAGAGGCCTGCAGGCAGCCAGCGTTGCTGGGCGGGGCGCGGGAGTGGGTGCAGGCCTGTCGAAGGGGGAACATAATTAGTCCTTCTGAAGATCTGTTTCTGTTACATAAGGCAATTTAGCATCCTGCTCCCTCGGAAATCTCCTTTGGAGAAAATAGGCCATGCAAATGAAAAGGTAAAATTGGATGATCGGTTGCATTTGTAACCTGTGTCTGGAAGACAGGAGGTTGGCTGCTTGTAAACAAACCTGTGTCCTGGGGGCTGGTGACCCTTCCATGTGGACTGACCCAGGGGTTTGTCCCCTGCAGGGAGCGGTCAGGTGATGAACTCTTGGCATCCCCCTAGAAAACCGGTCACTATGAAGTCACCCATCCTTTTAAGCTGGAGAAGGGTGCTCTGGAGGGTTTTGGAGGAAGCACCAGGGTTCAGGACCCTGGGGTTAGTAAGTTCAGCAGGGGGCCCTGAGCAGGGTTTCCCAGAATCTTTAGCCTTAATAAGTCCACATACCCATTCTTCTGCCCCCATCGCGGGCTTTCTACTGGTTGCCAAATATACCTTTATCAGTTACAGCAGAGACTTCTAGAACCAAGCTTGGTCTATTTCTGCAGAAGAATCATTCTTGGACACCTTTTGATTCATGAACTCTGGGTGGTGATACTGGCTCCTTGAAAGTTTGTATCTTGATCCTCCAGCGTTGAGGACCCAAGGAGACTTGGGAAGGAGCTGAGGTGAATGCAGGGAGCCCCGCAGGAAGCCCTCTAGGTGTAGGGACCGCAGAGCAGCCCGAAGGACGGAGTGCTCATCCTTCTAAAAAGCACCCTTAGACGGGGTGGAGGGAGGGGAACACTCCAGTTTTGTTTTTTCTTCCAAATGCTGTTTTATAACGTATCACCAAAGTACATTTGATTTCTTTTTTCATGTTTAAGGTGTAAACAGGTAGAACGAATGAGTTTTCTCATAAAAACAGAGATAGGAAGAACGGAGCCAAAGGATGGAATTCTGCCAGACTTTTTGGGACAGGAATGTGGGGAGGGGACAACGTGAAAACTCACTCTCCTTTGCCATAGAGAAGGGGGCCCGTTCGTGTTTGGTAGAAACAGGGAGAGGAAGGTGGTGGAGAACTGTGCTTGGCCTTGACCAAGATGACCTGGAGCAGATGTCCCCTTTCCCCTTCATAGCATCCTGCGCATGGCCCCCACCCCCTGTAGCATCCTGGATACTGACCTGTAGCCCTCGAACTACAATGTGGTCCCTGGCCCTGGCCAGTCGCTGTGTCCAGCCTCTCTCTCCACCCCTGGTACCGCCTGGCCCTGCCCCAGGCTTCCAGAAGGCAGCATGGAGTCAAGGGTTCAGAACACGGACTTTCAGGGAGGAAGATGAAAATCTGGGATGTTGTCTGGCTCCTAGGTGAATGATTTAACCACTGCAGGGTCCTCTGGAAGAGGGGAGGACAGGATTTGCCTCATCGCGGGTCCTGCCAGAGCAGCGTCTGGCATTCAGGCATCCTCAGTGAAGGCATCGGTGGCTGTTCGGATGCCGGAGGGGAGGCATTTGTGGAAGTGTCACCCCTCTTTTCCTCCCACCCACCCCCACGGGACGAGCCACCTCAGCCAAGGCCCAGGCCCCTGGGAGCTGCTGTCCCCATGGTGACACTCAAAGCTGGGCTGGGGGTCCCCACTTCCCATCTCTTCCCTGCTGTTCTTTCCCACTCAAAACCCCGGCATAATGAACCCCAATCCAAAAAAGCTTTGAAAATCCTCATTAGAAAGGGCTCTGCAAGTGCAGGGAGATGTTTCCTTGAGAAGCTTTTCAACAACATCCATGAAAAATAGATGAGCTCTCTTGAATTGCAAATGCTCTTAAAGTTTAAGGCAAAAATGTGAAAATCTGTCTCCCCTCTGCCCCGTCCCCCCCTCACTCGGGGTGAGGTCAGGGATTCGGTTGCCTCCGTTTACCAGCAAGCATCAAACACGATCTTTAGGGCCAGGAAAAAAACCTCTTAGTGGCATCACCCTTCCCAGAAGCTTGAACTCAATTCATTTTAATTCAGTTCAGCTTCCACTGGCTTTTTTGTTTTTGTTTTTCCATATTTCAATAACTGTTTATTACACTTTCTCTCCGTGCCTTGGCTTTATGCCAGAGGCTGTGGGGTTGAAGATTTAGAAAACAGTCAGATTCACTCCCATCAGACATTCTAATTGAGTTCAGTCAAGGTGAGACTGACAGCGCAAACGCTGAATCGAGCCAGTTTAAGTATACGAATAAGTGCCCCACGACCAGAGGTGGGACAGGGGTCAGAAACTCACCCAGGCTGGCTCCGGGCTCCGGGGGGCTGTTGTCCACCCCCTCGGATTGACTAAACACACCAACACTGAGGTTAAGATGGAAGCGGTTATGTTTCCTTTGCAAAGCTGCCTTTGCAAAACCACTACTGTGGGCAGAATCTTAGGGCCCTGCTTTCAGTAAGACGGCAGATGTCCTCAGGTCCTCATCTGCTTTGCCTCGGTTTGTTCAGTGTGTTCTGGAGTCACTGACCGCCCAGGGATGACCTTGTCCTTGTTGGAACACCTTGAAACAGCACAGTGCAGACAGCGAGGGACGACTGAAGCCCGCTGTGCCCAGAGAGAGGGAGGCGGGTTCCCTGGAGCATCACTGGGCCTCGGCCCTTCTGTTGTTCAACATGCAGCTAAGAGCATTGTGTTTTGAAAAACTGGGGTTTCTTAACTACTTCGATAACTTTTTATTTTTCAAGGTGTGGCTTTTTTAAAAAATTGAAGTATAGTTGATTTATAATGTTTCAGGTGTACATCAAAGTGAATCAGTTATACATACATTTTTTGCAGATCTTTTTCCATTATGGGTTATTACAAGATATTGACTGTATGTAATTCCCTGTGCTATACAGTAGGTCCTTGTTGTTTATCTATTTTATGTATAATAGTGCATATCTATTTATGCCAAATTCCTAATTTATCCCTTCCCCCAACTCTTCAAAGAGGAATCACATTGTATATTCTTGTGTGCATCTGAGTGCATATGTTTGCTTCTGATTTGAAGGATAAAAAGCCCAAAGAACAAGAAAAAAGAGGGGACTTTCTTCATCGGCCATTTTCCAAGAAGCTGGACAAGAACCTGCCGCCGCACAAACAGCCCACAGCCTCGCTCATCACGCACACTCAGAACACCAGGGCCCTGCTGAAGGACCGGAAGGCCACCAAGCCCGGCTTCCCTGACAAAGGTGCGTCAGCCGCGGGGTCTCGGGCCAGGCCTCTCGTGTTCAGCGACGTGGCTCTGTGCGCCCCCGGGACAGACCCATTCTCATGCCTGTGGGAAAGCAGAGTTAACACATGTGAGGTGCCCGAGGACAATCAGGGTCCACGCGGCATGGTGCTGGCCCCCTGTGCAAGCAGGATTTGGGAAAGTGGAGACGGTGTGCACGGTATTGAGGACAGGTCTTTGTTACATGGAAGGGGGGGCATGGGAGAGATCATGGGGTTCAGTACAATCCCTTCGTTTTAAATAGAAGTGACTGAGGTTCAGAGAGGGCCCTGGCTGTCTGACGCCAACCGGCGGTTCCCTGGGGAAGCAGGGAAGGGCTGGGGAGGCCGACGCAGCCCCAAGCGGCACGGGTCTGCGGACCCGGAGAGGCGCTGGCTCTCACCCGGAAGGACAACCCCGCTTGGTCCAGTTTAGTCCTGCAGGTCTCACTGGAGGGCCCGTGCTTGCCCCTCCTTGGGAGATTCTCCTTTCTGGCTTTGGAACCAGCAGCGAATCTGGGCCCTTGACAGCGGCGTCCTGTGGAAATACCCCCAAGGAAGTCTAGATCGCTGCTGTGTTTGGGATAAACGTGCGGCCTCAGAGGTGGAGTCCATTCCTTGGTACTTTCCCAGGCCAACGGTCTTCTGTTTCTTTGCGTTTTTCCTTCCTCCTGGGAGTTGAGAGCCTGCTGGCTTAGAACAGCCCGGAGCCGGTATAACTGCTAACACTGACCACTCACTGTGTGGCAGGCGCTGTTTCAACTCTTACCTCAACCCAGTGAGATCATTCTCACCCCCATTTCTAGAGACGAGGAAACAGCAGAGAGCTGTCCGAAGTCGGAGAGCTGGGAAGTGATGGAATCCAGGTTCCCAACCGCACAGCCTGGCCCTAGGGCTTTCCCTCCTGGCCTGTGTAGCCTACGGCCTCCCAGGAGGGTGGGGCGAAGAGGAGCTGGCATCGTGCTCAAGGGTCGGGCCGGTGTCCACGCCCTCCTTGCTGGGAAGGATGCAGGGTCTGGTCGGTGCCCCGGGGCTGACTCTGACTGGGGAGATTTGTAGGGCGAGTGTGTGAGGCAGCATCCCAGGATCTACAGGTGCGGGAAGGTGAAGGGAGCAGGGCTGGGCGGAGGGACAAGCTGGGCTGCAAGGTGGGAGCACGCGCGTCTCAGGGGAGAGGGGAGGGGCGCCCGTGCCAGCTGGAAGCCTGGAAGACGTTAGCCGTCAGTGAAATCTTACTTCTCCCTGCCGGTGAAGCTCAGGCATCTGTGCTGGCCTGAGGAGGAGGTTTATTTCGGGATCCGTGTGTTTATTTATGTAAGGCGAGGAGGATTCCCAGTGCCCTTGGCTGCCCCTGACATCACTCCCGGTGGTGGCAGCTTGTTCCTGCCACTCGGCCCCGACGGGGCCTGTAAAATGTGACGGTAAAACAAGGCAGCTGACACAGAGCCTGTTCCCCAGGAACTTGGCTTTACTTCCCTTGGCTCCACATTCGTGGGGATTTTCCCTTTCTTTTCTGGCAGAATCTGCAAACCTGGATTCTAGTCTGTGCCAACTTGAGATGGAAACCGTGGGGATTGGCTGGTTGCCCTAAATATATAGATGGAAGAGTGTTTCTCCCTTGCTCAGAACTAGATGAGGCTCCAGGGAGACCAAAAGTCAGGAGGGAGTTCTCAAAAAGGAAGGGAGCTCTGACCCCATGCTACAGCACCGGTGAACCCGGAGGACGTTACCTTCAGTGAAACAGGCCAGTCACGAAAGGACCAATATTGTAGATTGCACTCATATGAGGGACCTAGAGCAGTCAGATTCACAGACCGGTTGCCCCCGGCAACCGCTATTAGATTTGCAAGGGGAAGAGTTCCGTTTCACAACAGTGTGAATGCACTTAACACTACTGAGCGCTGCACTTAAAAATGGTTGAGATGATGAATTTATGTTATGTATTTTTTACCATAATTAAAAAAAAAAAGTCACGAGCAAAACCCTCTTTCCAGTTTTGATCCTGAGGACCAAATTTGCAAGTCCTCAGCATGCTGGATTCCATGTCCTTCCAGTGGTTTTCTGGTCATTCTGTTGAGCCATGTGCCTTTGTATTTAAAGGTTCTCTGGTGGGGTCCAGAATTTTAAGCAACCAAAAGGAGAGCAGAGGGGGCTGGGGTATAACTTAGTGGTAGAGCACGTGCTTAGCATGCATGAGGTCCTGGGTTCAATCCCCAGTATCTCCATTTTAAAAAAATTAGAAAAACAATTTTTAAAAAGTAAATAAAATTTTTTTTAAAAACTTACTTTGAGGGGAAAAAAGAATTCAGAAGGAGAGTGGATGTTAAGCTGGTTCCACGAGGTGAATCGGAACCCAGGAGGCCTCCTGTCCCCAGCCTCCTGTCCCTTCTGTTCTAGGACGACCATCTGTTTCCCATAGGGTGAGTCAGATGCTGAGGCCGTTTGCTTCTCGGTTTCTCCTGACCTCCCTGGGTAACTTCTCACTGTCTCAGTCACGCTGGAGGTCGGAGCAGGTGGCAGCAGGGCCGTCGGCCCTGTTGGTGTAGCCATCTTCATGATTTCCTTTGCTTCCTTGATGTGCAGATTCCTTCGGCTGCCGCAATATTTTCCGCAAAACCTCGGACTCCAATTGTGTGGCTTCTTCCTCCATGGAGTTCATCCCGGTGCCACCCCCCAGGACCCCCAAGATTGTCAAGAAACCGGAGCCCCCTCAGCCAGGGCCTGGGAGCGCCGGCATCCCCACCAAGGAAGACCCCCTGATGCTGGACATGGTGCGCTCCTTCGAGTCCGTGGATCGCGACGAGCAGACGGAAGTGCTGTCCCCATCCCATCACTACAGGATCCTGAGCTCCCCCGGGGGCCTGGCTCGCGGGAGTCCCGGTGAGCGAACGCTCTCGCCCGTCCTGCTGCCCGGAAGCCCATCCCCCCTCCAAACCCCTTTGCACCCCACTCTGGTCTCCTTTGCCCACGATGATAAGAACAGCCCCCCCAAAGAGGAGGGCGTGTGTTCCCCACCCCCAGGGCCGGGTAACGGCTCCACGCAGCCCCTGGGGAGCCCGCACTGTGTGAAAAGCCGAGGCAGGTTCCCCATGATGGGCGTTGGACAGATGCTGAGAAAGCGGCACCAGAGCGTGCAGCCCCCGGCGGACAGGCCCCTGGAGGCCAGCATGCCCCCGCTGCAGCCCATGGCCCCCGTGAGCCTCTCCTTTGACATGGCTGACGGGGTCAAAGGCCAGTGTTAACTCGGCCAGCGGTGGGGTTCTGGGTGTTTCCACGGGAAGCAGTGAGCAGCTCCATGAGTCCATCAGGGTGTGAAGACTCAGAGGCCTCTCACGGAGCATCTTTCCCGGCCCCACCTCCTCCTGATGTGTGATGTCCCCACAGCTGAAACCTGCAGACCCAGAGCCCTCATACCCTGGTCTCAAGTCAGGTTCCCCCGGGGATGCTGGGATCCCCTGGGAGGTGGCCTTCTGTGCAGCCAGCTCCGATCATGCGCGGCGTCCCTCCTCCCACCAATCACCGACCCTTTGCCCACCTCCCAGCTGGGCCCGGGCAGGCAAAAACCGTGCATCGGCCTCTGGGCTCCTCCAGTTACATACCCTTCGAGCTCTTTCTCCATTTTGTGTTCTGTGTGTGCCTCTCAGCGGGTGGTTCCCTTTTCAGCAGTCAGAGGGGTTCACCCAGGCCACGGTTTCCCCTCCTTTCCTAGAAGTGAATCCCTGCAGGGTGGCAAGAGCTGGTGCCCCAGAGCACCAGCCTCCAGGAACCCCTGAAGAAGATGGGCAGGAGCCTCTGAAACCAGCACCAACCCCTCTGAGCAAAACGGGGCATCTGATCAAAGACTGATCCAAACAGCAGGGACCCTGGTGAGAGGAAAGGACCAGTGGGGACACTCATTTGCCAAGCAAGGTTTTGACTTTTTTTTTCTTTTTTGGTTGAAACTTGCTAATAGTTGAATTATCTTTCCCAAAGATGATTTTTCTTTATGTGATATCATTGAATCAAAGCAACATAATTCTTAAAAACCTGGATGGAGAGATGGAAAGCGATTTCGGCAAACTCCTGTTCTTGCGAGAGGATATGTGTGGAGGGCATCAAAGCTCACCCAGGTGATGTTTTTAGTGGCTGGTGGTCACTGATCACAGCCGGCCCTGTGTTCTTCCCGTCACACCCCCGGTGCCCCCCTCCTTCTGGAAGCTATATTGCATAGTCAGGTTTGCTTATTTAGAAAGAGAGAAAATGGTTAAGGTTGGATGTGGATGTACCCAGAAGACACCGTTACCTCTGTGCAGTGCAGTTTTCCAGCTGCCAAAAAAATAAGTTTGGTTTAGAACTCCGCCAGTTGGCGGTGAGCTGTGAGAGGCTTGCCTGGAGAGAATCACGTTCAAAGTACAGCACCACGTCTTCTTTGAAGAAAGCGGTGTTCCCCAAACAGGCTTTGAGTCCTTGTTTTGTTTTCACACCTTTTGCCAAGGATGGAACCAAAGATACATCTCCGGGTCTGTGTCCGTGCCGTCGCTGCATACGTGTTTTGTGGACCTCCGTGTTGTGTGACCGTGTCTGGCTGGAGCTGGCTTGGGGCTGGGTCCCCTGGGCCCTGGCACTTGGTGGGGACCACTCGGTCATGAGCAGAACTGGAAAAAGAAGAATCAGCACGGGTTGGATAGCCGTCAGCCTGGGAGACAGGTTACACTGCGGCTTGGAGTCTGTAACTGTTGGCTGGTGCAGGCATGACCAGAAACCACCGCTGTGGCCACCCCAGGGCTGGTCCTCTCAGCTCACTGATTCTGAAGCAGGCCTGGAGCATTGCAAAGCCTGCCTTCACTTCTGCTGGCAGCCAGCCTGCGCCAGAGGGCAGTGGGAGTGGTTCCTCATTCACCAGCGGTGACCTTCTGCCCCACACGTCTCTGGCTGAGTGAGGAGGGCACGGATATCTGGCTGTCCCCAGAAGCCACCCCTATGCCCAGTCTTGGCTTGACAGGATCTTGGGCTACAGCTTCCTGCTTGATAGGATTGCCCCAGCCCAAGGCGGTCAGGCTCCTGGCTGTTGGTGACATTCCTTTGTATGGCTCCAGACCGGGTTCTGGAACTTTCCATTGAAAATAGAGCTTTTTAAGCAGAGAGAAAGAAAAGAAGCATCGGAGAAAGGTCCCTCTGTCCATCTGCCGTGAAGTTTTGGGTTTTGATGGGTGAAGAAGCCGTTTCGGAGGCTGGTTTCCAGCTTCAAGGGCCCCCTCTGCAGGTTTGAGGGCTGCGTAGCTGTGCCTGTGAACTTCGTCTGGCCTTTTGTGTCTCTTTCTTGTGTTTTACTTGCCTTGGGAACATGAGTGTGTCACCGTTAGCTTGTCGGGACGCTTCCCGTCCCTCGCACGTTTCAAGAACACCGCAGACGATCCTACAACTGACCAACCGTGTCACCATTGGCAACTTGAACTGTGAACTCAGGTCAATTCTGAACCCAGTGAGGGGGTGCGGGGGTGGGGGGTGGAAAACTGTATTGTGTGTGTGTGAGCACCTGGCCCATCTATGAAATCGAGTAAAAGAAGAAATGTTAAATTCTTTTATTATTTTATTATATTTATATGGAAAACTTGACTCTCCCTTGGTAAGGACAAAGTGTGTCATTCGTTTGAACCATGACTGTCTCTCGTTAGTCTGCGCCTGTGAGCTCAGTCAGCCTGTACTTACCGACGGAGGTGACTGAACCAACATCGTGTGATGTCCTGGAGGAAAAGTCAACTTTAATTGTACGATTTGGTCACAAGTAAGGACTGTATTTATGTCACCATGATTAAATATATGTGCTTTTATAATGACTGTGAAATACACTTTTCCCTCACTCTGGCTGCTTTGTTTGTTTTGCTGATAAATATGAAAACTAAGAGGAGGTTGCAAAATAATCGTATCATCTTCTAGGTAAAGTTCTTGGCCCAGCAACTGACAGGATGCAAGACGGAATCGCGTTGTGGGTATTTGAAAGCATTTTCGGCTTCATTTCACTTGCAACAGGTGTGCCTGCAGAATCCATCTGCCTGGTGTGCAGCAAATGGCAGCTCAAGGCGAATCAGCATTTTTCTTTCCGGGCTGGGGGCCGGGGTCATGATCTTCCTTGAAGACTCTGAAAATGGCAAAGGAGGAATAACACCTGTGAACGTCACTTCTAGATTTTGTCCTTGTTTCAGGCCTTGGTGAGGGAGGTGGGGAGAGGGGCAATGAAGTGGAATGGGAGGGGTCCTGGATGGGCTGTTTGGATTGGCCCTGTTCCAGATTTATTCGTAACTCTTCACAAAAAGTTTTTCCTATATCCCACCTTGCTTAAACCCCATGTCCTCCGTGCAGTGGGGCTCAGAGGGTGGCATGGCGGAAAGCAGGAGGCCCACAGTTTGCGCTGCATGAAGCTTTCTATGAAGTTGGGTGGGGTTGGGGAGTAAGAAGGTGTATATAGTTTTCATGATGATGTTTTCAGATCATTTTACAGCAGAGAGGAACCAGCGATGAAAGAAGAGAAAACTGGGGCCCCAGATGGGTTAAGGACTCACCAGGGCCCCTGAGTGAGCTGGCCTCAGACTGAGTCTGGGGAGCGGGGCTGCTCCCTCAAAGAACACAGAGCATTCAGAGAGCACGGCCACCGTGGGCAGAGGGGAAAGCCAACAGCAGATCGAACCGTCATTACGACAGGGATCTGAGGTTTCTGCATGGACCGGGGCTGCCGTTTTAAGTCCTTCTCAAAATCGTGCAGCTTCTTGAGATTTGAACCTCACATGTTATCCACTCACTGTCTACTATCGACTCGAAGCTGGAGAAAGACTTTCCTTCTCAATAGGTCCCCTACGTAAACATCTACCCCTGCACAGCCCTGCTATCTGCGCTGGCTGTGAAAGGGCTGTTGGGTTTTACTGGATTAAGTCAATAAAGTGTTTTCTGCATAGTCATGTCGTCCAGTGGTACAAGTTCAGAAAGAATGCAAGACTGCTATTTTCAGGGGGCGTCTGGAAGCCTCTTGGTTATTGTATTTGTTTTCTCTGTAAGGCCCTCTGTGCTACAGACAGTTAGAATAATTCAGAGCAGTACTGGGAGCTGGTTCAACTTAATGTCATCACTTCCCAGTGAAAGGAGTGTATTTCCTGAGTAGTAAATGAATGTGTTATTTGTGGCGGGTTTGTTTTGTCAAGGGAGCTTTTCAGACATCTGGTTCCAAAGACAAATGGGGTCTATATTTGCACTTTTCTGCGGACCTGTCTTCAGGACACACAGTTATCTCTGAGAGCTCATGTCTGTGGCACCAAGGGACTGGGGGTGGGGAAGGTCAGGGGACACCTCAGCCTTGGCAACCTCCTTCCACAAGTATATCCACGTTTGAGCTGGTGTGCCGATAAGGAGGAGTTCGGGGGCACCAGCTCGGGGAGTATAGAGTAGACAGATGTGGAGAAAACTCGGGGACCAACTGGAGTTGAGCGACTAACCAGTAGGGCATTGCAGAGAGGACAAGGCCAGGAAGGTATATTATTTACAGAATTTAAAAAAAAAAAAAAAGAACTCTGACTTAAGGGCCTGAGCTAGTTACTCAACATATTCGCTGCTCAGAAGGCGGCCCATAGTTATTTTGAAAGGAAAATCTTTGGCTGATATTATATATAAGCCCCTCCAGAATAACAGAATGTATTCTTTCTAAGCCTTGTTAACACAGCCGGCTGGACAAGGGTGGGATGCCAGCCAGTATCAGGACCAAGGCTTCTCGTCCAAGGTTAGGTGGTGCATTCATGGCAGGTCTGAGATGAGAATGCCTCTGTGACCCCATCACCAGTGTTCGGCTCCTCTCTGGCAACCAGTGTGTTAGGTAGATCAGACTTAGCGATGAGAAGAGATTAAACCCCAAATCTCTATGGTTTGTCCCATAAAGGTTTGTTTCCTACTCCCATGAATGTTTATGCCATTTGGCTGACTCCAGAGCACCTGCCTTCCATGTGTGACTCAGGGATCCAGGCCGCTTCCAGCTTGTGGTCCTGTTCACTCAAAGTGAAGCTTCTCTGGCCACCACAGCAGAGCAAGAGTGAGCTGAAGAGTTTCCACTGGCCCTTGAGTGCTCTGTGAGGGCTGGAACTAGTCCTGTGCCTGTCCACGAGCAAGAGGCTGAGAAATGTGGGAGAGCATGTGGATATTTGGGATGCAGGTAAAGTTTCTGCCACAAGGAAGGTACAGAGGCCTGTCACTTACAGGTCCCCTAAAATTGGACCAGCCTTTCCCATTGTTACCCAGTTGTGACACCTCTTAGCGCGTAAGGATTATTTGTTCTGAATAAAGGGATAAGCATTGTTACTTATTAATACTTCCTTTAAGAGGGAGTGTTATGGGCTGAGTTGTTTTCCCCGCAAAACTCATCTGTCGAAGGCCTAACCCCCAGCACCTCAGATGTGGCTGTATTTGGAGACACGGTTTTTAAAGAGGTGAGTTAAGATAAGGCCTCCATCAGGGTGGGCCTGATCCAGTCTGACTGGTGTTCTTTAAGAAGAGGAAATTTGGACCCACAGAGGGACACCAGACAGAGACAGGACCATGGGAAGACACGAGGAGGAGGCAGCCATCTGCCAGCCAAGGAGAGAGGCCAAGGGGGGAACCAAACCTGCCGACACCTTGATCTTGGACTTGCGGCCCCCTGGAGCTGTGAGGAAAGCAATGTCTGTTGTTTATGCCGCCCGGTGTGTGGCATTTTGTTATGGCGGCCCTAGCAGACTAACACGGGGGGAGGCCACATAGAAATATTTATATATCCTACAGACCCTACAGATTTTGTCCCATATGTTGAATCTCATTTACCCTTTTCTTACAACTAAATTACTCCCTGAAAACCGTCCTCTTTTGGTGATGAAATTCTACCTTTTCCAAGCGTCCCCTGTGTGCCAGGCCCTGTGCCAGGTACTTTCAAGTGTCTTTCTTCCTTCAATCCAGAGACCCACAGACTTTTGTGTAAAGGGCCCGGTAGCAAGTCCTTTACGCTTAGCAGATGACCATGCAGTCTCTCCTATATTTTTCTTCATGTTTTGCTTTAATTTTAACAACCCTTTAAAAATGTGTAGACTGCAGAGAAGAACAAGCCACACAGATTTTGGCCCTTAAGCCTCCTGGATTTTTGTTGTTGTTTGGTGGGGGGGGGGCAAGTAATTAGGTTTACTTATTTATATGTATTTTAATGGGGGTACAGGGGATTGAACCCAGGACCTCATGCATGCTAAACACTCACTCTACTACTGAGCTCTACCCTCCCCAGTCCCCCCCCAGGCCTCCTGCTTTAGTCCTCACAAGGCCCCTGTGAAGTGGGCGAGTTGTTTCTGTTTCACATGTACATTTAGGTAGCTCGCCCAGTTCACAGAACCAAGATTAATGCCGTCACAGACCACAGATGTTTCATTTTAGGAACCCACCACCTGCAAAAAAGAAAGAGAGCCCCTTCCTGTTTTGTTTTTGGTAGATTTCCAATGCTGGCTGCCCTCCACGGGCAGGGCGACACGTCAGGAGAGTGTCCTGGTCACAAGTCTGCCGCTGCCACTTCGTCCCCCAACCCCATCTCGGATTCATCCCTGCTTCCTCTGCGCAGAACAGAGCGTGGCCCTGGTACTCAAATTGCATTCCATTCAAGCCATCTCCCATTCTCTTTGTGAACAGCCTCTCAAAAATGGGCTCTTGCTTGCTTATGAAAAGAGAGAGCTTAGTCAACGTTTTAGGGAACAAGTCTAAATTGAGAGCAGATGCGGAGCTGTGTGATGCCTAGTAGACAAATCGGGGCCATTACTCACACCTGAATGACGCGGCGCGGGACCAGCATCCCCTCCGCGGAGAGCCGTCTGAGTCAGAGAGCCCCAAAGAGCCCATTCAGATCCTTCCCACCCATGGCCGCTTCAACTGTGTGAGCCAATCGCATTTTCAGAACATCCAGGCCCAAGTCACAGAATCACAAGGACCTGGGGGTCACCTAGTCCTGGGTTCAGTGCCCCCAAGAGTTTGGGGCAGTCCACAAAGAGCAGCAAGAAATTTCGGGTTTCCAGGATAAGCACGAATTGGCTGCTTGGAGCAGAGTTTTTGTAACTCACTGCTGATTTTAAAAAAAAGATAATACCCTTTTTTCCCCCTTAAAACTACCATGTGTCATGGATTCAGATGCAAAATCAGTGTGAATGTTGTGACTCCTTCCCTGATTGTCCTCTCTGCTTTACATATTTCAGGGAATAATTTTAAGAAGCAGAGGTCAGGGTACAGATGATGCATCCGAGGCCAGAATAGAGACAGGGCCATGAAGAACTCAAACTATTTACCTTCATGGTCAGTTCTCTTCCCACTTCCTGGCATGAAGAGCCCAGAATTAAAGGATGCCCTGGGGTTGCTTAGGAGTGTCATAATGTCTGGGGTCTGCTCGCTCCCTTTTGCAAATTTTGGGCCAGAGGGTGGACATGGTGATGACCATATTAGAAAGAAGGAAACTGATTTGTGAGGAGTGTTTGAAGGAAGAGAGTATGTGGAACTGCTCTTTCCACATTCCCAAATGATTTGTCTTACCTTCCCCTGAACACTCCTAGTCCTCCATGAGTACATCTGACATGCTGATGCGTGGTGGATGGATGGGTGAATGATGGATGGATGGATGGATGATGGATGGATGAATGGATGATGATGGATGGATGGATAAATGGATAGATGGGTAGTGGATGGTAAATGGATAGTGGTGAATTGGTGATCAGTTTGGACTGATAGCGAATGGATGATTGGTAGGTGGACTGATGAATAAATAGGATTAAGAGTAAATGCTGAGAGGAGTTAGATGAAAGACTAGTAGTTGACTGAAGGGCACTTAA